CCCGCAGGCACGCTGCCCACGGCGGTCACGTTGCCCACGGTCGCGACGTTGCCCACGACCGTGCCCACAGTTGCGACGCCGCCGACGTTACCCACTTGTTGTAGTTGAGCCTGCTATTACATTTTTCGTTAGTTTCATTAAAGAAAATAATTGATTAATTTATTATTAAGTAAATTTCGATACTAATGTGTTAATTAATCTAACTAATAATTACAGCTTCACATATGTGTAAGACACATATGAGAAAATTTACCACTTAATATCTCCACTAACCAGAATGGGCAGCTGTCTAACATTTGCGTGGGCGTTGGGCGTGGGCGCTACTGCGGACGTCCTGTAAAGCAAATTAGCAACTTTTGGGTCACATTTACTTCTGTGATCTTGGTATCAATTTGTCCACATCAGTACTCTCAAATTTTGTACTATAAGTCTATAGTCGAAGTTTGTATTTGGATGTACTTAAAATATGTGTAATACAAAAATAATCTCTATAACTCACACAACAGGGACGGTTGTTGCATGCGTTTGAATTGTGGAATTGTTAGCAGCCGCTGACCTTTGTTGTAACAATAGTTGCTGTCCCTAGAAAAATAATAAAATGAATATGTTCCCGCATTACATCTTATTAATATTATAAATGCGAAAGTTTAGATGGATGGATGGATGTTTGTTAGAAGATATATCCAGAACAGGTCAATGGATCTTGATGAAATTTGGCATAGATGTAGAATATAGTCTCGAGAAAAAGATAGGCTACTTGCTAAGTTTTTTTTATTCCGTGCGAAAGGAGTCATTATGAAAAGCTAATATTTAACAAATTTCAAAAATAGAACGGTAAAAACGAGACAGTATTTTAAGGAACGTTGATATTAAATTTAAAGGTATAAAAACATCTAGGAAATTAAACTCTAAGCTAAAGCATTAATAATGAAATAAGAAATAAAATTAGATTAAGAAAAAAAAAGAAGTTGCATTACATTTTTGTTTACCATTTCTCTCATGCTACCAGTGAAGGATACTCTTGGCAACTGTCCCGGTACTATGTGCTTTATCCTGACTGATTTACGACCTTCTTCTGTAAAAATCTCCGTAAACTGTTGTATGTACTTATTGGCTTGAAGTCTTGATCCTAAAATTAAAAACCTCAATTACAACCTTAACCTCACAAAACACTTAATAAAAATTGTCAATATTTAAATTAAATTGTTTTTTTCTCTATTTTTCACCATCCATGTTTACTTATGGACCAATTGATATCAGATTTAGATAACAACGAAAAGAATATTTCATCTTATAGGAATCTAATTGCTCTGTTTTATTTATTCATTTAAAAATACTAATTAGAAATAATAAAACGCATTATTTTTTCTTATCAAATGTATAAAAACGTGACTTACCTAATGTAAACCGACACGCTGATCCATTTCTTTCACCTTCAACATGATCTCTGTCAACATAAAGCTCTCCGAGAAACTCCTGATCAGATGGCCTTTGTAGTATTGACAGCTTTATATGGAAGAAGCCAGCGCTAGCGTGGGGCGAAGTCTTCTCAGTCTCGAGGATGTACTCCTCTACGAGCTGCGGTTGACAATCTGACGTAGGTCGCGGCCGTTCGTAAGCGCGCGCTAACCGCAACGGAGCGGTCGCTTCCGATGGCAAAATTAATGGTACAGGATCCATTTTTGGTGGTTCTATTGGTTTGAAGACCTATAAAAAATTAACAATGACATTTTAGTAATATTATAAATGCCAATTTTTGGATGGATGGATGTATGTTTGTTTGAAACTATCCCCAGAACGGTTGCATGAATCTTGCTTAAATTTGGCATAGATGTAGAACATAGTCTTTTAAATAGTTTTTTTTCATTACCGCGTGGACGAAGCCGCGTGCGACGGCGAGTATCAAATAAAGGTATTTTAAATAATACTATAGAATAAAAAATCATTAGAACCTATTTATGTAGAGAGACAGATTAATAATATTAAAAAAAACAATTACCTCGGGTGGTTTCTTAGGATATTTAGATGTGAGTCTAGTAAGAGGTACCGTTTGTCTGTTCTTAGCTCTTTGCCTATGTATTAATTCCAATAACTCTAAACCATGGTAGTGTGTGAATTGATCTAATTTTCTTTTTCTATTAACTGCCACCTGAAATTAAAAAAAAATCTGGTTAACAAAAAAAAACTCATATTTATATAACTGTGATGTCCAACTCAATAAATTATTATTCTTTTTCTTTACCTTAATTAAGTACTTATTAATATTATAAATGCAAAAGTAACTCAGTCTGTCTCACTCGTCTTAAATAAAACTTGGTACATGGATAGTCTAGAACAGTGGTTCCCAAACTTATTTTGTCTACTGCCCACTTTGAGAATAAATATTTTATTAGCGCCCCCCATATTTTCACATATTTAAAAACCACTATAACTTCAAATTAAATTAATTCATTATTGTTGTTGAGAGTCGCTAGCCCATGCAGTGGTTGTCTAAGAGGCCTCCTAGCTAAATAAAATTACAAATCACCCCCCAGGCCTCAACCCAACGCCCCCATTTTCTTTCTGGGTCTCTTACCGCCCCCTGTGAATCCTGCAGCGCCCACAAGGGGGCGTTATTGGCCACTTTGGGAAAGACTGGTCTAGAATCTTAAAATGTTACCTTAACACAGTATTTCAGGCGGATAAGTCTACCTAGTTTAATACAAAAGTACAGCTAATTACCTGAGAAAACCGTCGTGCTTGCCGCCGTATCCTAGGCGTATTAAAGAGTCTAGGGGCGGCATGTAACCTAGCTGCTAGCAGACCCACTGCAGGCCGGGGATCTAGACAGAGTGGTGGGGCTGATGCATGCACTAATGCAGCCTCCACAGCCTCCAGGGCTCCCCGCTCCTCACCCGACCATCCACACTTGCCACCGATACACATGGCATCTGTGATTATACTCTGTAAAATATATTTTTTATAACAAAACTGACATATAAAGTAGATTATAAAAAAGTTTAAAAATAAATTGTCTGCAGAAATAAATATGAGATAATATTAGTTTTTTTAAATGATAGAGATGAGGTAGTTTCCAGTCAAAGATTATATAATTACATTATCAAAACCACAATTTCTAATCCTTCCCATATACTATAATCAATTTTGACTTATTATCTGTTACATTTAGCTTTATTTAATAGTATTAAATCTTACTAATATTATAAACGCGAATGTTTAGATGGATGGTTGCATGTTAGAAGGTACATTCAGTACAGCTGAACGGATCTCGATGAAAATTTGGCATACATATAGAACATAGTTTGGAAGAACACATAAAGTATTAATAAGATTTTTTTTATTCCGCTCAGACGGACTCACAGACGACAGCTAGTAATGATGTAAAACCTTAACTTTATTGGATAGTATTAAAGTTTTTTTTAACTCCAAATTAAATATAATTAACCTTTACCTTTGGTAGAATTACCTGATTAGTTGGCCTTAGTAAAACATGATGAGTATCACATAGAAAACTGGGATATGCCTGTCGATAGTCTCGTATTTGGGCTATGATACAACCCGAATAGAAAAGTGAAGAGTGTTCCGATTCCAACAGATCAAGTAGAACAACTGGTAATTCCTCATTATCAATATAACTTAGCAGTTCTTCCTCTTCATATGGCCACCGAGGTGTCTCTATTAATGTCTCCTCTTGATTTGATATCTGGTTAAAACACTTTACAATAAAATTATAATTAAACATTGTGTATCAAAGAAATAAATAAATAATTAAAATTAGCATAAGTACATAGTCTATTTTAGCTTTCTTTCGTTTTATGATTGAATATGATTAATATTTCTGAAAAATATAAATGCAAATGTGAATTTTTTTTTTGAAATCCCTAACACATTTAGGATAGCTGCTGCAACATTTTCTTGTAAAAAATATTAAATGAAAACATATCACATATGAATGTACACAAACAACAGATCCAAGGTCATATTTATTTAAATTTAAAAAAATAATGTAGTTGATTACTACTATTCTTGTGTATCCATACCAAGGTGTGTATTGAGATTCATGAGAAACAAGTTTTAAAAAACTTTCATATAATCCCTCTCTCTCTCTCTCATTTCTGAGAAAATACACATAATCTCTGCCTTCCTTTAAAAATGTTTTCAAAAGTAGTATATTACAGAAACTGTCTACAAGACCCCTATTAGAAGCGTTGCAAGTTCAAATCTCATTGTAAATCTGATATGACTTAGTTTTTATTACATCAACCTAATACAGGCCTATAAATTTGTTATAGTTGAATAAATTTAACTATAAGTATTAATGGAACAAAGTAACAAGGATCTGTGTAACAAAATATTTTAATTAATTTAACAAGTAATTTTTGTTGTAAGAAATAAATAATATTACTCATCCATATGTTAATGTTCAACTCTCTAACACTATTATGGGAGAAAGTTTTAAAATAAGTTTTGTAAGTACCCTAAAAACAGAATAAATAATGTTTATATACTTACATTTGCTTCGGGTGGCTGTATATATTGTGTATTGCCATTAACTTTTAAAGATAATGAATATCCTTTATTGCCAGGATATAAATTAATTATTAAAGTATTGAGGTTATATGTTGCTAATAACTTCTCTAATAAATATGATGTGGTTTTAAGTCCTTGCTGAAATATTAATTATAATCATAAATATATTCCTATTGTATATATATTTATGTTTAACATATATACAAATAACTTAAATAAACCAAGTTCAAAATACAAATAATATAGACAATTTTATTTGTATTTATGTAATTCTATACAAACTAACAATATAATGTTTCATTGTAAATATGTTTACATTGATTACACTTATCTTGAAATTTATCTTCTGCATCAGCTTACCGCTTAGTTAGATAAATATTTAAAAATAACATTTGTATTAATTTTTGTAGTTTAAAATAAATATTTATTTGTTAGTATATCAGTTTTTGAACATTTAACAATGTATGTTAAATTTCTATTAAAAAGTAATTCACAAAAATAAATATGATGTCCTTAGATGTTAGGAATAAGGAATGATTCTACTTAGAATTACACTATATCTTTTGCATATTTTTAACAGTTCAAAATCTACTGTTAAAAATTAAAGAACTATTATATAAATGAGTTGAATAATTTTAAAAAAATATTTGAATTTGCTACAAATGTAATATTACTACAGTATCAATACTCACATAATTTATTTGTGACGCTTCATCTCTACTTAACTCATTAAACAACTCATGAAGTTTTTTAAATAAATCAAATTTTTCTGAGCTTTTACTGGTAGATAAAGTTGTTGAATTCCTTTGAAACTTCATCCTGCTGTCATCCACTGTTTCTGCTAAGTGTATTTTTTCATGGGTCCAAGTCATTTTATGGTCTGGGACACCACTGTCAAATTGTGTTAAGTTCGCATTTGCATGTTTCACCCGATTAAGTATAACCTGAAATTTAGATATTATTAGTCGATTAATTTTAGAAACGATTTTAAATCTAGAAAACACACTGATAAACTACTATAACACTTGCCTCTGCTTCCAATGCCGCGTGAATTAAACCATCCATAATGTCATTAATTAAAAAGAAATATATAAGTGGCAGTTGCGTTTTTAAAAGTATTATTTCATTTTAACAATTTAGGCCTGAGTATTAAGTCATGATTTATAGAAAACTAATACGCTTTATTTATGTTTCACACTGCATGACAGTAAAATAACATGTCCAATGTCCATCAACATTTTTGACACTTCTGTCGAAAGTTGTCAGTGCTGTGCAACAGATAGCACTATAATTTCAAATATTCACATCTCTACCTACAGATAATAAAGAAGTAGTTGATTTGATTAAAATTTATTTAATAATTTAAATTTATTATTGGGCGTATTTAATAAAACCTGAAAATAATTATTGTGATATTCATAAAAATATAAAACTAAATAATTTTTTAACCACGTATTGAAACACTAATTTGAATACAAATCTAAAAAGCTATACAATCTAAAGCGAATGTTTAGTAAATAATTATAAGTTCTTTCTATTTTATAAGAACATAAAAGGATTGATTAATATTTCAATACAACCCTGTAACAAAGTAAATAGAGGATGGTCAAATTTCAAATTCTTACGCGGCGGCCATTACACTTTTTTTTAACGCCTTGAAAAATAAATAGCAATATATTGGTGTTTAAAAAACGTTTAAATTTGCTTATATTAGCAAACCTCAATAAACACATTATGGCTATTCGGTCAGTAGAAATGTAGGTTTTTACTACCACAATCACAGCTAAGTGATTAGATACCACTTAGTGTAAGTAGATTTCGTTAGAGGAATCTATACTGAGAGACTGTACAGATAACCATTAAAAGACTGGAGTATGAGATGAAGAACACTAATGTAGCAAAACTAGGAGCTCTTTACCATTCTTGGCAAATTACAAGGCAGTGAAGTCAAAAGTCATCAAAGTAGAGTATTGTATACATATTTAAGTCAATATTGATATGATTTTTATTTAATATGTATTAACATTATATTTTTCTTGTTTCAGCAGCATAACTGGCATGAATATTAGAAAATGAAGTAAATTTAATGTGAGACTTGGTCACAAATAGGTACCTAACCTGAGGTTCTTTGAAATTGAGTTAAAGAAGTGTTTCCAAATCTAATTTGATTTAAATATTATTCCTTAATAAAAATACATAAATTAAGTGCTAACTATTGCTTAAATTTTACAGATACTCTGACTTCCTCCACACTCCATCATTATTGAAACACTTAAAAATACCAATAAGGGACATTATTCATCAGAGTAAATAAAATTTCTTAAACATAAGAAATATTTTATTAACATTGCACTAGTTATCATTTGAAGCCATATGTCTCATGAGATTGGAGATAAACTTATCAACTTTTCTCACATCTTGTTGCACTTCTGTTTTGTATTGAAGACACTGAAATGAGAAATTTTTGATTTAAAAACATACATAGTAATTTGAATTATTATTTTGCCTTAAAGTCACATTTGGAGAAGTTTGAATTATAATGTATAAGGGCTACAATTTCAATATAAAGCCAAAATAAAGAAAACAGTGGAGTTTTCAAACATTGTATTGTGAAAATTGTGATACAGAGAAGTGACATTTTATAATTAGAGTAGCTATGTGATAAAACATGATTTATTAGAAATTGTTTGGAATTTATCTTTAATAAATGCAGTTTGTCTATTGCTAAGGGCTTGGATCGCAACAAGGTAGGTATAATATTTACACTTAATACCCCCCGCTTGCTTCTGCATACACAGAAGAGAATGCTTGTTCCAAAGAAACTTGTCAACTTAAATTTTGGGTACTATACTACATAATCTATGACCAATATCAATGGGACCAATTTCTTTATTTATTGCAAGTGTCCTAATGCAAGGGGAAGTGTCACTCTCTAGTATAAATTATCATTTGGAATACAGAAGACATAAAAGTAAATCCTAATATATCGACTCAAAATTATTTTACCGATTTAAGAAAATGCTTTAGGTAAGTTAAAATAGTTTACAAAATTTATCATATGCAATTTATTATACCTTTTTGTTATCCGTTATTTTCACTAAAAATACACCTTTGGAGTGTGAATACTTCATACTGTATCGTGTGTTTATTGGATCACGTAGATACAACATCTCGGCAGACTTCTCAAATTCTTCCCAGTTTGGTATATACGTCATTTTTTAATACGTGTTTTTTCCGTTGTGACGATGAAAAGATGTGGAAGGATATATTTTATTAGAGGATTGATTAAATAAATAGATTCGAAAATTTTAAGATCGTATCTTGAATCAAAACAAAACACGTTGACACATATTTTGACTTTGACAATTATTTTTATGGCTGAGATGACATTGACAAACGCGGGTATTCTTATATAGTCTATGTTACTGACCTCTATACATACTCAAGGCAACATAAACCTTTGAAACATAGCGATTTTAGTCGCTAAACAACTAATTCAATGTCGCAGAGGTTCGTATATCGCGCGCGTCGTTGATATTTCTATCATCTCTGTAATCTGTTATTGCTAAAACCAGTCGCTGACAACATGTTTGTCAAGATCGTCGCGACATGTTGTCGCTATCCCGCTTAAAGCGAATGCATTTTATCTGAGCCACTTGTACTGACCAAGTAGACGATACATAACTGATAACGAAAACCCAATTTTTTAATTGTCCATCTCTCTGGCGGCAAGGCCGAGATTGTTCCAGGCTATCTTTGGAGCTGCTGGACGAATACGACGGCACACGGCACTTTGATGATAAGGTAGCTGATGCACTTAGGCATATTAAAGCAATTTTTTTATTAATTCTGCGCTGACGATGATCAAGTATATCATAAAATCAGAATTGAAAAATTAATTTATGTTACAGTTTTTCTGTTTAATAAATGCCTTTTAATGTTTTGAGTAATTGCAAAAAATAAAACTACATAATGGATGTAGTGCTAAACACAATTACTTTATATACTCGTTGCTCGTTGATGACAAAACGGGGGAACAGAAATTAAACAGTGAAGAAAATGGAACAAAAACTAAACGAGAAAAGCCTTATACCTTAACAAATCACTGATTTTATCTGTGTACTAACATAGTTGTAGTAATTTGTTGATTAACAAATGGAAAACATTCGATATCATGGTATACAACTATTTCTAATTTTGTGTCTATTCACACTTTGATATCTATTCACCCCATTTTACTAAATTTTATTTATTGATTACAAAAAGTTTTTATTATGGCAACATTTCACAAAAGCGCTAGAGAAGAAAATCAATACAACAGTGATGTCTTTTTAAAATGAGAACTTGACAAAACATTACTTTTAATTAATCGAATAAAGTATTTTATTTAAAAAAATATCTGTTGAAGCTTGATGCTCATTTTTTATTTATTTACATAGTGATGAATATTCACCTAGTTACGGCGTGGTAGAGCAAACTGCGTGTTTCAGTATCTGCTTTATTCGCAGAATATCTACAAAAGGTTAGTAAATCCTTAAAATATTAGAATTATGTTATTTTTGGACATAAACATTTTCAGTACTTTGCATATTAATGTGAAACATCGACCTTCGCCATTGTGTCTGCATCGTGCATGGTGCATTGCGTTTTTCGTATGTACGTAAGCCGTAGGTATGTACATGTATATTCCTATCGATTCAATTACATTTGTTTTGTTTTTATTAAGTAAATTTATCTAAACATAACTTGGTTATCGGAACATCGAATTGATTGTCATAATTCGCGAATAAAAGAACAATACTTAAGGTGGTATTAAATCATGATTTTCAAAGGTTCTAGATAAATAAATTATTAAAATATGTGCCCATCGTTTCATAAAGTTTTAATTACAACTATAAAAGCACTATAAGTTATGTGCATATAAGATATATAGTATCCACAATGTCAGTAGCTGTCTAGATAATTATTTGATTTCCAATTGTCTAATTGGACATTTCATATATATCTTAAATCTGTTTATGCACGAAATTTTACATTTTTTTTCAATAAACTGGAAAAACAAATGAAATAAATATGCCTTGTAGCTAAAGAGGATTATGTTATTACTGTTATTTTAGCTATATATAAAATTATAACTATATAAAGACATGAAGAGATCACAGTAAATTTTTAAATTTGTAGTCATTATTTATCAATACCCAAAAAATAGGTAAATTTGGTACTATAGTGAATTTGTATCTGTGATGCATTGGTTATTTTCAATTTTTATTTTTTTTCCTCTTGCCTTGTTTTAATGAATTTAGTGAATGACTCATTTTACATATCACAAAAAATGAGTGAAGATATGCAATATTGATTATAGTTAATTTTTATAATGATTATAGTTAAGTTTTACCATCAATTCAATTGTTTTTGCTATTCAAATATTACTCTTTTAATAATTACAGTTTATTACATTTATTTTAGCCTCATCATTGTTTAAATTTATGTCATGTCATGATAAGGAGGTTTATCTTTTCTATGCATCAACATCTACCCATTCATTTCCTCTGAAGCCAGAAATGGTTGAATAGTCTTTTATGGATTTAGGAGGAATAGCAAGAAGGGAAGTGATGAGAGGATAAGGATTTTTATTGGATTTGGACTTAGTTACTGCTTAGGTATAACAGAAATAACTCACTACTTCTGAGATTCTTTTGATTTTCAATGTTTAATACATTATCTATATTAGCTAAATTGAATTAAGTACAAAACTGTCCTCTGATATGATGTATGTGTTAAGGATAATTAAGATATTTTAAAATATTATATATAAATCCTAAAACTGTAATGATCTATGTATGTTTGTTACATGTTACTGGCAAGTTGTATAAGGAAAGTTCATAATTTGTCTAGACAAATCATAAAGACTGCCAATTGCATATTGAATTTATAAAATGACATTAGCACTATTACAAAATTATAGATGACGTTTTTTTTATACAACCACCCCAACATGGATATCAATAATGAAAGGGTTTCTCTGCTATAATTTAGTAGATTATACTATAAATAAATCGAAGATGGGCGTCTAGACAAAATTATACAAAATCAATATTATTACAAAATTTGATATAGGTATCATCATACAAACTGATTTGACTAAAAGAATAATGTAGTTACATCCAATTCAAAAGATTGACTAAAAATTTAAAAAAGAATTTATGAAAGTAGGATAAGTATTAAAAAATATTTTTATTAATAGTTCATAAGATTATTACACAACAAATATCTGTAGCACATGCTACTTATAGTATAAATTAAGTGTTTTGTTTGGTTCTCTTTCCTGTTGCCTGGTTGATGTAATTTGCATATTATGCTTTTGAGTCAATTTAAAAATCACCAACATTAATTGGTAGAGTAATAACATAATTCATACATATATTGCTTGAAGTAAATATTATGTAAACACATACTAATACTAATGAAGAAGGAGTATAAAAATGTTATGATGGTTTTGGTTCTTCATATGAATATATCAAATAATGTTGATTATCATTATTTGCAATGAAATAGTCATACTGGGGAAAGAAAGAATAGAACAACACAAGACACATGCAATATGGTAGAATATCAATTGTTTGTCAGTATTCAATAAATCCCAGTGTCTTTCTGTTGCTTTTATTTATGATTGAATCTCTATTGCCATGATGACATTTCATGATAATCTGAGATTATTCATTTCTTCCTATGTTTATAATTATTTGTGGTAATGAGGATTTTTTTTTGTGATGTCTGTTGAATTAATTTGATTGAACATCTTTTTTTTTAAATTTTGTTGCAGATTCTTGTTGAGCAAGCCACCACAGTTTAGATTGTACACCATCATAATTATAAGTGAAAATGGAGGAAATAAATGGGGATATTTATGGTGATGGGTTAGTCAGCCTTGGGGAAGATGGATCCTTAGAATCTCCTGACAACGGCAAGCAGGAACAAAACTGTAAAATATGCGAGTGAGTTTTTTAAAAATATTATTTAAGAAAAACATGGGTTACATTTTTGCCATACTTTATAGAAAAAACCATAATATATCATAGCTTAGGCTACAGATAAGAAAAATATGTACAGTTTTTAATAGTGATTGCTAAAACTAACTAATTGATAAAATATTATAGTTATATTTTGCAGTATAATTTATTGTATAATTTCATTTATTTTTGCCCTCTAATTGTTGATGTGTTGTTTTGTAGTAACAAGCTTTGCAGTCCCCGAGTTTTGTCATGCCTCCATGTGTTCTGTGAGGCTTGCATTGACAAGTTGATGGTGAATGAAGCAGGTGATTCCCTGAAGTTTGATCTGGCTGTGGAATGCCCCCTGTGCAAGCAAGAAACTAAGGTGCTAATATAAAATGTTTTGTAAGGTTTTAATATGACTTGCTTTTATTTTTATTTTTCAATTGGTTTTATATTTGTTGCACAGATGCCTGGTGGAGGAGCTGCATCACTACCTTCCGATTATGTTCTCACTAACATCTTGGATGTTTCTTCTATGGATCAATCCGTTGTTTGCACTTGCTGCAAAAGTAAAGAACCAGCTGTAGCAAGATGCACTGATTGTTCGCATTTTCTCTGCTCGAATTGCAACTCTGCACATGAGTTTATGAGGTGCTTCGAAAACCACCGAGTTGTCCCTTTTGATGCTCTCAGGTCTTCTAAGGAGAAATCCGCTGTTCATAAGCCAATATTTTGCATTCGCCATGTCGGTGAAAGCCTTAAATTCTACTGTTGTGAATGTGAAGTAGGCGCTTGCACCGAATGCCTCACGGTTGATCATAAGGTGGGCGAACACCGTTGTGAGAGGATTGTGGATGCCGAACCAAATCTTCGCGCTGAACTACGAAACTTTATTATGCAAGCGAATGCCAGAGCTGAGGCAGCCGGCAGCGCCTCCTCTAAGCTCGACGATGCACTCGGAGACCTCCAGCGGCAACGAGACGAGGCTGAAGGCGTTATCAACGAAGCCTACTGCGCTTACAAAGCCGCCATCGAGCGACGCCGTGAAAAGGCTCTCGAGGAACTCGAACGCTTACATAAGGAACGAGAGTTGAAGGTGATGGACTTATTCGATCGCGTCGACAAGACAGTCCAGCGAATTGAATGCGCTTGCAAATTCGCAACGCGGCTGCTTCGGCGCGGCGACGGCACCGAGATCGTAATGCTGAAGAAAACCGTCGCCTCGCAATTTGCGCGCTTGTTGGAGGGATCGCCAGAGTTCGATATTGATTACTCGTTGGAATTTGTCACAAGGTTGGAAAAATTTGATGCCATAACCGAAGAAACCTTTGGCACCTTTCGCACTGAGACCACGCGTGCCGAGGAGAGGAAACGCGCAAGTGAGGCTGCGTCAATGATGTCCATTTCATCAAATACGCATTCGCCTGCCGTTTCCTTAACCAATGCGCCTGTGTTCGATGACTTTCCTCTGGGGAACGTCAGAAGAGTGACCGGTGTTTCCGGGCACGGCGGCTTAGTAGGCGTTCCCGGAGTAGGAGGGGTGCCTGGGTTAGGCGTACCTTTGCCCGGAGTGACCAACACGGGCGTGATGCAGGGCGTAGTGAATGTGAACAGTGTCACTGGAGTGGGCGCGGTGCCCGGCGTCGGCGGAGTGTCGGCCCTGCCATCTATGGTCGAATACAATTTGCAACAATTGGCAAGCATCGCCGAGAAGGATGTCCAACAGACGCCGCACGCCTCGCCGGCCCCACCGTTCACTTTAGCCGAATTACTAGCCGGCGACCTTAATTCACCCCAAGCGTATAACAACTTGCAAGCCCTCGCTAAACTTGGACTTAACACTGGTGAGTACAATATAGACATGAGCAATTTATTTTTTTGAATGATTTGGTAACCATTACGCTCTTGTATAACAGAGGTGAATGGATTTGGAAGCGTTGGAGGTGTGGGCAGTATCGGCCCGGTGGGTCCCCGCGGTGTTTCCCCGGGGCGGCCGCTGCTCACTGCGGCGGAGGAGGCGGCGCTGGTCGCTCCCCCCGCGCCGCTGGTCCGCGCTACCAAAGCGACGCCCATGCATATACGGTTCAAGTTCGGCCAACTGGGCGGCGGCAAGGGGCAGTTTAACTCGCCGCACGGATTCTGCCTCGGAAATGACGAAGACATCATTGTTGCTGATACCAACAACCATCGTATCACCGTCAGTATTCTCATACATTTCATTTCCTAATTTCTTTGTTCCTTCACCTATTAGAATACAATGTCACATTTCGACTATACTGTTTCTTTCCTGATTTTTACAAAAAAGTTGCAAATTTCACCAAAGTGTGAAATATTTACGTACTTGTGTACACTATATTTCATGCGTGGCAAGGTCGTATTACGTATTTATCCTAATTAAAATCTCACGTTTACGCCGCGTGCTACGGTAAAGTTTTGTTCAATTATATTTTTTTATAATCTATAATATCGTTACCAAAACTGTTTCCATTAATAATAATAAAAGTATTTAAAAATATCTCATCGTATCGTAGGTGTTCGATAAATCTGGCAATCACAAGTTCAACTTCGGCGTGGCCGGCAAGGAGGAGGGCCAGCTGTGGTACCCGCGCAAGGTGGCCGTGGTGCGCGCCACCGGCAAGTTTGTGGTGTGCGACCGTGGCAATGAAAGGTCTCGCATGCAAATATTCACCAAAAATGGTCATTTCCTCAAGAAAATTGCTGTAAGTATCAAACACACATAAGTATACAAATGCGACGCGGAAGCTGGGCACTTACTGATTATTTTATCAATCTATTTATATTAATAAAATTGGAGTCTGTGTATGTAACGACATATCCTACTTATGGTGTATTTGCGTTGCTAATAACTAAAAACCATTTTTTTATTATTGTTTGTGTGTATGTACGCAAGGCCGCATTTGTTACGAGTAATACGGATTGGTTGGACCGATTTTGACGGGGCTTGGACGGGAAGACAGATGATGCACTCGGCATATTATATGCTACTTTTTTTAATGCTCCATTGAAGAAGTATGACAACAACCGATATCGTAAATAACTGTCAAATGTACTTAGGTTGTAGAATCGATATTAAAAAATAGAAATTGTACCTTTGATCAAGTTTGCACATTTACATAAGAAGTCAACATGTTATTACACGTTCACTGCCACTAATTGCGAACTCACTATAATACGTTAAATTCCAGCATTGAATGTGTTAAGTTGCTTCAGATTTAAAAAACTAAACAATGTATAATGATTGAAGGTGCGTTTCATCGATATCGTGGCGGGTCTGGCGGTGACCGCGGAGGGCCTGATCGTGGCCGTGGACAGCGTCACCCCCACGGTGTTCATTCTGTCGGAGGAGGGCGACCTCTTGAGCTGGTTCGACTGCAGCGAGTGCATGCGGGAACCCTCCGATATCGCTATTAGCGGTGAGATTACTAATATAAGATCATACGTAGCTGTTCATCATTTGCGTCATTCAATATTAATTCAGACCAATTTTAATAGTATTTATTTGATGATAATCTTATTAATATTATAGATGCGAATTAATATAATAATAAATGGATGGATGTTTGTTACTACGTAACTCCAGAACGTACCGAACGAATGTACGAACATTGTATGGAAAAATACAGAGGTTGCTGATTAAGTTTTTTTTTTAATTCCACGTCGACGGAGTTGGGGGCAAAATTAGTTATAAAATTTTAAAGCAAGTTTTAATTTTTCTTTCAGGCAAGGAATTCTACGTGTGCGATTTCAAGGGGCATTGCGTTGTGGTGTTTGACGAGGAGGGCAGGTTCCTCCGTCGCATCGGTTGCGAGAACGTGACCAATTTCCCGAACGGCATCGACGTGTCGGACGCCGGCGACGTGCTCATCGGAGACTCGCACGGCAACAAGTTCCACGTCGCGGTCTTCTCGCGAGATGGCGTTCTCGTCACTGAATTTGAATGCCCTTATGTTAAGGTATGTCTGGTTTTGTACTGAATTTTAACACATTTTGTGTGTGAAAGTCAACTTCTTGACTTACCACGACCTGGGGCAAACGGGTTATCGAGTGATAGTTTTTTGTGTAATCTTAAAGCATTCGTACACAAGGCAACGTAAATCGGCGATACTAATTTTGTATGGTGTTACGAGAATCGCGTTGCGCGCATTCCATACACAACGTTGAATGGATTTCCGCCATCTTGAAATTTGCAGCGACTTTTCTCAAGACGTTCTTGACAAACAGCTCGCGACTGTGTTTGAGGATGACGGACAGATAGAAATGTCGGCGACGAACTTGCCAGGTTTCGAAGATTTACATTGCCTTGTGTACGAAGGGCTTTAATGTATGTTGTTTTCAGGTTTCTCGTTGTTGCGGGTTGAAGATAACTTCGGAAGGTTATATCGTCACTCTGGCTAAGAATAATCACCACGTTCTAGTCCTGAACACCCTATATATAGTCTGAGGCGTATAGCTCGGCGTCTGTAAGTCTGCATACGACAAGATCTCACATTTATTCCCTTTATTTTTATATTTAATTGCTGATTTTACAAAGCTTAACTTTTTGCTAAACCAGTATTTGACTACTTATTTTTGTTATTTTGTGTTAAATTCGCATTAGTCTGATAATGCATCATTGTCCACAAATGCAGTGAACTACAGTGATTCCAATTTTTCCTATAACTTGATTATTATATCGATTAAGTTGTTGATGTGTAGAATTTTAAGATTAAATTGGTATCACTGCTCGAGGATCATCGATGTAATTATACCCAAAGCACTGAATACTTTCGTACTGTTTTGGTTTGTTTATATTCATGTCTCAGTTTATATTGCGGTTGCATTTAGTTATAGTAACAGAAAATCCAAAGGTTAGGCTAATAATATATTCATTTTACTTTATACTTTATGTTCCAGTCAAAAGATAAGTTTTACATATTCGGTCTCGGATCTATAATACCGTATTATCTGCCATAGCTGTTAAATTTGTATCTTATCGTCGCAATAAGCCAAATAATTTTCAACGTATTGAATAGTTAACATTTAAAATATTAAGAACTTCAGTGGCTGGTTGCAGTTTTTTGTCATTATATCAAACTGCTGTTTTTAAAACTCGAAATTTAGCCGTTGACTGACTGGAGTTAGTTTTTCTTTCTAAATTTAGCAGCTGGTATGGTTCCTAGTTCGAGTGAAGTTAATAATACATGTCAATTAGAGGTCCGCGTAGGAGTGTCGCCTTAAAACTGTTGCGTTGCTCCGAAACTACTCTGATCTTTGTAACACAATCACACGATCATTTATATATTGAAACTTACGCAAGCGTATTATACAAATATATTAAACCCCCTGTATCTCAGTTCATTATCTTTTTTCTATTTTATTTGTTAACCGTGGATTTCCAATGCCTCAAACCCTGTACAAGATTATATTGGTTTCCCTGTTTTTTTCTAAGAGAAAGAGTGGGATGGCAATACGTCTTTGTACAGGTGTGCATCGGCTGTGAAAAGCCACTGTATTTAAACATGCCGGCGGAGACTAATTGTGTGATTGTGTTTACATTTCTAACGCACAATTGAGTTTATTGTTAACAAAATTTTTAGTCGTTATTATGACCAAAGGAGGCGACACTGTAATAACGTGCCATCTAGTTTAGGTTAATTGCGTATACAATATTATATATTGTCCGTTAAATATATTTACCATTTACAGAATTCTTGTGTCTATACAAAATGTTTTCCATGTACTCTTGTTTTGAGAGCCTATATTTGAAAGGTTTTGTCCTGGTTAGGCTATTTGATGAAGATATTTTAGGATTTGGTTGTTATAAATGAAATTACACTGGTGATTAGCTGACATGAGCAATTAAGATGCGAGGATTACGACTCAATAACATTGCAATAATTTTGTACAACGTAATTTGGATAGTTAAAAGTATTTTATCGAAAATTAGTTTATATGGCATTTTCTTGTACATTCAGCCGTTTGCATATACACAAAATATAGACGGCGGGCGAATTTTAAAATGTAGCGTGGACTGAAAAAAAACATATATAAATGTTTTTAATTTACTTTTAAAAGCATTAAACATGACTATTCATGGGGTATTATTTTAGATAGTAATTTTTAAACATAGCACCAATTACACCGGGATATATCTTTTTTATATATTTGTGGGTATCTTATTCCGTTTTCATTGCTCAAAGCTTTTTTTTTGCGTTAATTGTAAATAAAATATTTATAATCAGTCCACTGTCACGTATATAAAATGTTTTGTTGTATAGATGAGGAGTGCGCGCAAGTCTAGACGATTGGTATTCATGAATGTGCCATTATAAACATTTTGTTTTTATAAATATCTATATGTATGTTCGGAATTCGTATACAGTTCGCCAAAATTATATATTTTTCTAGCTAATCACATTTAATATTCAAAATTGAGATTCATAATTTTTAGATCAGTGCGTCATTTATAAAATGCGTTATTCAATTTTACATGGTAACATTGTGAACGACCGCCTCACTTTCTGTATTTAGAGGCGAGTCGGACTAAATAAAGCTTGGTAAATGCGTGGAATATCCTGATTGTAATTCTAAATAATGGTCAATTGAATAGCTCGAGTGTCTCGATAGATGAGAAAATTTAAAGATCGTCTTCCAACTCGCGAGCTAAAATTGTACACGTATTTTCAATTATTAAATGTTACCAAAAATTTTATCTTTCACCGTTATACTATTCTCGTTCTATATATAATTAATTTATTTGACCATTATTTGGTACTACAATGTAAACTTTTAAGTTCCAAGTTTTCAAAAATATAGTACTTAACCAGACCACCTGAAATATGTGATATTTTGTTAATATATAATTTAATGCCATGCTCTCTAATCTCTGTTTCTGCTAAATTAAACAAACAGCCAAAGCAATTATACTTTGCTCTTACAGATGTTAGCGCTAATAATAATAATTTGAACAATTTAAGTTCCTGATTTTGTAAGCAATAGTCGTATGTGCGGTGATGTAGACTCTCGCCACGCAGACCGCGTCGCGTGTCTTCGCATACGAGTGTTGTTGGGCCATAATATTATCACAAGCTTATTCTAATAATTAATTCATTATAAATATATAATCTAACCTATGTACTTAATTAGTAATATTTGATTTATATGTTGTGTTTTGGAACAGTTTTAAAATGTTTAATTACATTAATGACATTCTATGTGATATCAGCAATATAGAGACAACAACGAAGCGTATACAGTGAGATGTTACTGGTATCCTAGTACGTATATTAATAATGGCAGATTTTTAATTATATTTAATAAAAACTTTGCCACTTATTCCTTTTGTCAGATCTTAGAGTATAGTTTTTTTTACTCGTCGTATCTGAAAGAAAATATTTTTTTATTTCATTACCAAATTAATATTATTTATAGAGATTAGGATCGATTTAGTATTACATAGGAACAATGCGTGTTTTGTTCGGATGTTCACGTGGAGGGCACGCCCACCTCGCTGACGTCACTACGCCAGAACGCTCTCTCTGTATGCGCTCCGTGTACTTCCAACACAAGACTTCAACATTGTGAAAGACAGTTTGTGCCGCGGGAGGAGATGTTCAGGGGAGGGGTTGTGGAGGGGTTGGGGGGTCAGGGGCCACAAGCCAGCAGTGATAATTTGAATTTTGACGTTGAGTCTGAATCCTCTATTTATTTAGTGAGTAACTTTTGGGTTTATTTTTCATATTGTTTTTTTTTAAGTTATTTGTTTCAGGATTTTTGTCCCGATAGTATTAGGGAATTTTATTTTGTTTATTTTAACTAGGTTAAAATGAGTCTATACATACCCTTCGCGGATGATAGGTGTGATTAATACTCCGATTTTGTCATTTTACTGTTTCCTTTTAATATGTTCCGGGCCTATATTTAAATAGTATTTTGGCCAGTGTGTTTTTTAGGCCTTTAGAGTTACGAATTTTTACTGCCAAATTATTTTCATATGATATTTGTGCATGCACATTGTAATTATTTTATTGTATATTATACGTAAAAATTAGTTACTAATTGTTGCCAATTTTATTTTGTTTTATTAATATTCAGGGTTTAATATTATATAATAAAGAAATTTTTATTTGTTGTCCATTGATCAAAATTCTTGAGTTAGTGACATATTTTAACCGATAGGAAAGTTTTGAAAGCCCCAAAGGGAGCGTTTGACGCTATTTATTATATTGCTTAGGGTTGCATAAAATTATTAAAAGTGGTGTGATAGGTTTTGGATAATTTTACAAATTATACTATTTTATGTGTGATTTTCAATATGAATAAATTTGAAGTTTAAATATCTTATCTATGTGCGCAATTTTCAAATAATATTGTCGGCGTTCATTTGCCGTATTAATTAAAGTATTATCTTTTTTATTATTATAACTTGTAATTATTTTGGTGATAATCGTTGACAACGTTTCCTTTGTTCTTGCCATGGATTAACGTAGAAGTGAATGTAGATGTTTTCGTAGAAAGTAGTACTTTGAATGGATATTCAGGCGCGGGGGGAGGGGCGTGGGTGCGCGAAGCCGGCGTGGCGTAATCGCGGAGTAATGGCGGGTCAAATGGTATCTATTGTCCTTTGACATTTCTTGATAATAATTGTATCATTAGAGTACATTACAGTAGCCTTTCTCAGGAATCTTTAAAAGTTACCTATATATACACTTTAAAACAATTTTTGGTAAATATATTTCTCTTAAATCTATATTCCCTTATGTATCCAGCAATAAAGAGTAGTTGTAGTTATCACATTATATGGCACTGAAGGCTGCATTCTTATCCGTTTAAAGCTCGTAATTGTTCGTCGTCTTTCGCCGTTGTTTAAAACGTTTCTAAATAGGGTTTCGGATAGTTTTGGAATAATTCGCTTGTAGACATATTCAGTGCCAATTAATGCGATAGTCGTAGGGTTCGCAGCGCACAAGGTGAGCTCTCAAAAGGTACCCTCCCTTATTGGAGGTGGGCGTATTGCCTAGATTTGTGGCACGAAGCACAGCTCGATAGTTTCGGTGGAGTTTGCGACGGTAAATTTCAATAATGTATATGTATCAGTATGTATGTGTTTCGGACCGCGTAACAACACTTGGGTGGGTTTCGGCGATTTTAATTTAAACTCATTTAAGTTGTTTCGGTCTGGTTAGGACACAGTAAGCTGATCACCTGCTTGCCCGACAAGTATAGTGATCTCTGTACTACAAGAGTTATAGTAGGCGGCGTGCGAGGCCGTCTCGCATAGCATCGCTCGTTTTCCACTCCACATTTCAGAACAACATAAAACATGAGGTTGTGAGCTCTGTTCCCTTTGGAATTATTAAGCCACATGAGTGCTTGTGCAATAAATATCACAGTTTGGATCTAGGCTTTTAAATTATTATAGATTATATACATTGTTGAGCTGATTATAAAAATTTAATATATTATTATACCTTTTAATATTGTTAAAGAATTCTAATTGCATTCCACGTCTAGAGTGAACGAATTTGTGAAGACCATTTTGAATCTTACATACATTATACATGTTTATTATTTTTTACAATTGTAGGATTATTAGCAGTCGCCAATGTTTTTCCTTTAGTCAGTAAAAGTACAAATATTTTAATATACAACTCTTGGTATTTACGTATTGTAGTTTCTTATTTTTAATTGATTTGATTTTTTTCTAACTATAAGCATAATTTTTTTTCGTGTTGCGGCCATTAAGACATTTTTCAAATTGTTCGGTAAAAACAAAACATATCATACCAAATGTATACATTTGTCACTCGACTCACTCAGGCTAGCGCACGCGACAATGTGGACAGAATGTACATGGACATTGCCGTCACCGGCCCCTAATGTTTATGTACACTTTGTACATCCATATGTGAGGACTGTGTTTGTTTTTATTAAAATTACTAATCCCCGTGATATCCTGTATTCGTTTAGATTTACGTAAAATGGCTTTTGTTTTCAAATTAGATTTAAGTTATATCTTAGGTTATTACAAACTTGAGTTTTTCGTTTTATCTTTTTATTTAAATTTTGATTTCTATTGTAATTTGCATGTTCCGAATGCATATTTTAATTTAGTTCCAAAGATTTCTTATTTTGATTTACGACTTTAATTTTTAATTCATGATACGAAATTGACATTTGTGGAGTGTGCATTGGTTCTTGACCTTCGGGTTTACGTGAAGTTTTTGTAAAGTTGGTGCAGCCGAGCAAATGTCTATTGTATTCTCGTAGTCGTATATATATTGCTCAATAATTTAAATCTGTTAAAAGTATTGTAAAGTTAGGCGGTCTACACGTATGACCGCAAGCTACGGAGACACGAAATATCTAACAGACAATACCCTCCGTGAAGATTTGAAAGCATTGTAAATGTTAAAGTTTAATTAGATGTAGTCTGCCTCGAAGGCGTGTTGCCGCGGCGAGTGCGGCGCCGGCCGCTGGACACGTTGCACTGGTCTGCCTCCAAAGAGCCCTACACGCTCTACCCGCTTCATATCCTATCCGTTTTACTTTTGTATCCAAGTACTTGCACAACATGTCCACGTGAAATGACGTGGCCGCGAGAGCTCGGAGCGCAGTCTAGATGATGTGTCCAGTGGAGTCGACTTGCGCGGTGGTGGTCGATTGATGTATTAGTGTTTTTGTCCCACTCTCAACGAAACATGTTATTCAATACAGGAGTCTCTACTGCATTGTGCCTAGATCTTAGAATTATATTGGTAACGAGGTAGAGTTAATCTCAAATATTTTGGCTCTTTGAATATTCCATGATATTATTTTGTTTTTCATGAAATGTATTTACATTATATACATACATACACTTAGTAATATTGTATACATTAATATACATTGCGTAGTTTGTAAACTTGGTTTTATTATAAAATAAGATGCCCAACTCGTTATCTACTGATTTTGTCCACGACGCGACGCCTCAAGCTGTAGGGGAATTGATTTTATTGTTCGGACTATACATAGCTTTCGTTGAACACGAGTGGACGGAAAAGGTTTCTTTTTAACTAGTTGTTCATCTTAGTTTGACCAAATTGATTGTCCGCCGAAGTTACTTGAGAATTTGTGTAAGTTGTTGCAATGGTGCAAGCGCGGCGCGACGATACGAACTTTCACGTAATTTAGCGGAGTTAAAAAAATTCACGTGTACTGTGGCCAGGTTAATAACATCACAGAGCAGTATAATTCAGAGCCTGCCTAAAATATATTTTTGTCATGATTTTTATTTAGGTATATACATGTTATTATTCACATATTACAGTTTTCTCAATATTAGCTTGTATTTTAATTAAGAAATAATCATATTTAACATTGCCAGGTGATCAGCAACCTGCACTTTAATATTTTTGGAAACTATTGAACTTAAATTGTACTGACTTTATAAATATATTTACTTCAATAAAGATTTTCCATGCCACTAAATATTCTTGTTTTATTCCAAATTCAAAAATAATTGCCATTTTAAGATAATACTGTATGCGTACTACGCACCTTCCTTCATACTATTACGATTTTACCGCCACTTAACACGTGATTATTGTAGCAAATTATATGTAAGGATTCGAAAATAAAACATAAAAATCAGACGTTAACGTGTATAATACAATAGAAAAATAACAATAAATTTTCACTGGTAACCATTACATTGTCACATTATTTTTGTAAGCTATTCGAATTTAAGCCGCCATTACTTACCACTACAGTTCTGATAGAACTGATTTTTGATCACAAATTATTTCCATTACATGGTTTAAGGTAATTTAAAATTTCTTTATTTTATTGATTATTAATTTGTTTTATTAATTATAAAATAAAAATTAAAAATATTAAATCCTCTTATGTTGTCATTAAGTATATCTCAGCAACATAATCACATCTTTATATCTAATATAGATTTGATCTATTTATAATAAAGCACATAAGTTCATTGAATTAAAAAAATTACTATACTAAAATCATTTAGGCGCAGTGTACACGCATTCCCCTGCTATCCAAGTCGATAGGACTTTCAGAGTTTTAGGGTCCATAATAACAAAGTCAGCGTCACAACCGTAGTTTAAGTTACCTTTGATATGCTCAATACCGAGCGCTTTGGCTGGATGTAACGAAGCCGTTTCTAGCGCATATTCTAAGGAACAATCTGAAACAAAAGAAACATTAATAGATTAGTAACTATAAAAGAGATGTGTTGATCCTTTCATATTTTTTTTTATTCTATTTTTTTTTTGTTACCATTTAAATTTAAAGATTGGCAACACTATTAAAACTAAATAAAATTGTTCTGGACTAAACTAGCTAAAAATGTTTAATTTTCATCGTCTGCAAGCAATTAAAAAATCTAGTAATCAATGTAGTTTCCCAACAGTGAAAGAATTTTTCAAAATGGTTCAGTAGTTTTGGATCCTTTTGAATGCAAATAAACAATCAAGTCTTTCCTCTTTATATTAGCGTATGACATGTACATTAAAATTCAATATACCTGTAGCTTCTTTAAATTTAATAATGCACTCGTCGAGGGCGCTAGTGCTGCCGCATAATGTTTTAGTGCCGACAACGTACGCGCGTCCGTTCTCAACGCTGACGGACATCGGCCCGATGGAGTAAGTGCCGTCGGGCAATCCTTGAGCAGCCACCGCATCACTTACCAGAATTAATCCTGTCACAAGAATTACATAAAGTTCTATTTTATTTCATATTTTAACAGACTTCAAAATTAATGGAGGAGAGAAGAGAAAAAAGGAGGAGGTTCTCAATTCGTCTGTATAATATTTTAATTTAAGGAATACTCACCGTCAGAGTTAGTTCTGCACGCAATACGAAGCGCCGCTGGATGAGTATGAATACCGTCCGATATGATACCATAAAACACTTGCTTTTCAGTTGTAGTAGCAAGAAGTCCCACAAGACCAGGGTCTCGGTGATGAAACTAGACAATTAACAATAGTAGTAATTAACTTTAATTAAACACTGTGCTCTTTTTAAGTTAATATTTATGTTAGCGATTCAACTTACTGGAAGCATAGCATTGAACAAATGTGTTATCAAATTGGCTCCGCATTTGACTGCCTTTTCACCATCTGCTAAATTAGCAGTGGAGTGACCAAGAGCAACTTTAATTCCAAGACTTGTTAGTCCCTTGATTGCATCCAAAGCTCCCGGTAATTCCGGAGCTAGGGTAACTATGATGACATTATTTAGAGAGCCATATATCTCACGAAGTGATTCTAATCCCTGAAAATACA